AATAGTTTCAAAAGAAAAGTTCTCTAAAATATATGATGTCAATGGTTCATTAGTAGCAATAGCAAAGAAAGAAGAAAGATTATATAAAGTAAAGAGTTATGTTAAAAATAGTAAAATATTTGCAAATTTGACCAACAATTAACGTTAAAAGAAAAGAAAAATTGCACCGTTCATTTGGACATGTAAATTTTAAATATCTGGATATTATGTGCAAAGATCAGCTATTAGAAGGAATCCCTAAAGAAATAGAAACCGAATATATGAAGTGTGCCATATGTATTGAAAATAAAATGCACAATTTACCATTCAAGAATAATAGAAGAAAAGCAGAAGATATTCTGGAGATTATACATACAGATGTAAATGGACCTCAGAACAATTGGACTTTGTGAGTTTTATTGATGATTATAGCAAGTTGGCAAAAATTTATTGTATCAAATCTAAGGATCAAGTCTCTGATTGCTTAATTGAATATGTAAATGAAATTCAAAATTTAACAGGGAAGACTATCAAAGAACTAAGATGTGATAATGGTAGTGAATATATGAATAGCAAGATATACAAATTTGCAAGAGAAAAAAAGGTTTCAAGATAAAGTCATGCCCACCATATGTACATGAATTAAATGGTACTGCTGAGCGTTACAACAGAACTATAATGGATATGGCAAGATGTCTTTTAGCCGAAGCAAAAGTTGACAGACGTTACTGGCCTGAAGTAATTAAAGCTGCTGCTTATTTGAAAAACAGGACATTAACAAATACTATTGTAAAGAAGACACCATATGAAATATTTTTCAATAGGAAACCATCTGCTAATGAATTGAAATTATACGGAAGTAGAGTGTATGTAAGAATACCAGAAGAAAAGAGAAAGTCAAAGTGGGATAAAAAGGCTGAATTTGGAATTTTACTTTACTTGGATATACAGAAGTTGGATATAGAGTTTTGATGAATAACAGAATAATAGTTGCCAGACATGTTGACATTATTGAAGAAGACATAATGTGTGTAGGTTGTGATGATGAAGATAAGAATGATGATACAAATAAGAAGAATGAACCTCAAGAAGTGTCGTGTGAATCGAGTAATGATAACTCCAAGGACAGTGTGATAAATGAAGATGAAACAAAAAGTGGAATGAGACCAAGAAGGCAAATCAAACCACCAGTTCGATTTCATGAAGAATTCGGGTACTACTGTGTTAGTGCAAATTTTTGTGATGCTACAGTTCCAGGTAACTTTGAGGAGGCGACAACATGCAGTGAGGCTGGACATTGGAAAGAGGCAATGGACAGTGAAATGAACAGTCTTGTTAAAAATAACACTTGGACACTAGTGACTAAACCAGAGGATAAAGCAATTCTAGATGTGAAGTGGGTATTCAAAAGAAAACCAGGTAATGTTTTTAAAGCTAGATTAGTGGTTCAAGGTTTCCAGCAAAAAGATAGTATTGAGGACACTTACTCCCCTGTCATCAAGATGCAAACCTTTACTTTCATATTCTTGTCAGTATAATTTAAATATTCATCAAATGGATGTTGAGACTGCCTTTTTAAATGGTTATGTTGTGTCTGAGGTTTATGTTAAACAGCCACAAGGCTATAATGATAATTCGAATAGAGTGTATAAATTAAAGAAAGCACTATATGGGTTGAAAGAAAGCCCTCGTGCTTGGTATGAGTGTTTTAACGAGTATATTGAGAGTCTAGGATTTCGTAGAAGTAAATATGATTATTGTCTTTATGTAAAATCTGAAAATGATGTATTTGTATATATTCTTTTATTTGTTGATGATTTGTTGATATGTTGCAGAGATACTCGGGTAATTAATGATATTAAGGAACAACTACATAATAAATTAAAATGAAGGGATTTAAACGTTTGCCCGACTACGGGAAATTTTTTTGGTTTGATATGAGGAAAATACATCAAAAGTCGTTAATCCGGGACTTCGGCGGGGATTATCGATTTTTCCGGATTATAGATCATCAGTTTAAATCTGGTAAGATGGCATGCAGAAATTACAAAATTAAAAATATGAAAACCGTAATTTATGAAATAAAGAACAATTATGATCTAAAAGGGTATCAAAATTTACACAAAAAAAAAGCTTAATATTTATTTGTTTACTTTATTAAACATTTCCTTCAATGTAAGTTGCTTTTGCTTCGTTTCATGTAATAATACTTTCTCTTTAATTCTATTAAACAGACATAATTTCTTGTTTAGTTACAAAGTTCCGCTGTTCAAGTCCTATAATTGCTGTGTTGAGAATACCGGCTAATTTGTCAATCGAAATGTTTTCGTTTTCAATAACCTCTGGGTCACTTTCTTCCGAATTATAATGACCAGGAACTTGATTTATATCATATCAAAGAACCAAATAAAATAAAAACATCTGCCCTGAAGATAAGGATAGTGCTGAGAGATCAACTTCCAATTGCCCTGTGAAATTGATAAACACTAAACACATTTCGGATTTCAAAACATACTTTCGCTTTGTAGATACAAATTACATATTAGTAAATATATATGGGAAATTCTATTTGACATAATCTTTCTAATCTATCATAATTTAATAATGACGTTCCTCCCCCCCCCTCTGCCCGCAGAGCAGCGTGTGAAATTGATAAACAGATTTCGGATTTCAAAACATACTTTCGCTTTGTAGTAAATATATTTTGTAGTAAATATATATCGGAAATTCTATTTGACATAATCGAAAGTTCAAGCTTACTTTTATAAAACTGCTTTAACAGTCTGCAAAAAATAATAAGCCGGATCCAATTCGAAGATTAAGGAACATTGCAATCTGCAACATTAACTGAATTAGATAACTTTAGCTTAGCGTGTAACTCCGTTACACATTACACGCGCATGCGCACAGACATATTCGCAGCCGTAAGGGTCACGCTTGCGCAGAAAGTTTGTAGCTTTGAGGTCCGGATTATAGATCATTCCGGATTATGGGTGTCCGAATTAATGACTTTTGACTGTATTTAGTATTAATATTTTTCGACAGATGGCGTGACTTGTCCATGTAACTAAAATGCTTTTCATCCGGGTTTTTCTTCGTAGTGGGAAAAGAGGGATTTTTCTTTGAAATTTTTGTTCTACTGTATTCAACGCTTGTGAATTTAAAACCTTGTCTTTTCTTATGGAAGTTATGGATGGAATAAATGACGAAAATACTTTCTTGTTAGATGATGAACTACATTCTGATACAGATACAGATAGTTCATCTAATTATTTGGATTATTCCTCAGATGAATCATGCAGTGAGCTCAGTTCTGATGAAGATTTGTGTTCTGCAAGGATTTTTACCGAGGTTGACGTGAAAATCCACCTGTTCCGTGTCCTCGATTTAAATTTACTGTATTCCTCTGTGCACGCACATTTGACGACTTCTGATGTTTTAGAATTTTATGAAACATTCATTGATTCTTCACCATGAGTAAAATTGTGGAAGAGACAATAATATGCTAACAGTGCATCCAATCGGTGTTGCAAAACAATTCTCAAGAGTAAATTTTTGGGAAGAACAACTGTGAACGAGTTGATGTATTTTTCGCTCTGAATATACTTCAAGGAATTGTAAGAAATCTGGAATTGTTCATTATTGGAGCAAAAGATATTTCAACTAATACACACCTTTTTTCTCTAAAATAATGTCTAATCGTCGATTCTGTCTTTTGCAAACTTACTTGCATTTTTTCGATAATGCAGCATTTGACAAAGAAAATCACGAATGCCCAAAATTAGTTAAAGTTTTGGCCAGTTGTAAAACATCTCAATAAGAATTTAGTGAAATGGTGACACCAGAGCGAGATGTAACAATATATGAGAGCCTTATGCTATTCAAAGGACGACTAGGATGGAAACAATTTATTCCACTCAAAAGAGCTAGATTTGGAGTAAAATGTTTTATGTTGTGTGAATCCAATTCTGGTTATGTCTGGTCAATAATAATATATACAGGTAAAGACACAATTCTGAAACCTGAATATTCTAAACTTTGCTTTTCATCACAAATTGTCCTGACAATGATGGAGCCTTTGCTTCATAAAGGATTCATATTTTTTTGGGGGGGGGAAATATGCATTTCAGGCATAAAAGTTTGTGCATTTTCAGAGGCCTTAAACATATGACAGTAAAACATGTTTTCCAAGTATGAAATATTGTTGACCATTTATACTGGCAGATTCCACCAAACTTGCACCAGTCATTCTGGCAGAAGTTCAGAGAAACAGATCTTTCTTTATTTAATTAAATTATCAATAGACACTAGTTACAGATAAATCATATAAAAATTAAATTGCTTATCATATTTTTCATGTTGCATTGCCATTATTTATCCACTTTTGAATAAAATTGCATGTTCTGCTCATTAATGTATACTTTTCTTGAGCAGTGTGAGCAAAAACAGATAAACAGTAATTAATTTAAATTCTCCTTTAGAAAAATAAAGTACCTTACCAAGAACTAAATGGGTTTTATGTAAACACATTTAAGCCTTTGTTTTATGTTAACCCATTTAGGCCAACCTTAATGGAAAATAACATAAATTACATAAAAACATCTTATGATTGCTGTAATATCAGACTTATTGCATTGGCAATACATCACACTGTCTGATGACAGTGTTCTATATGTGCTTTACATTGGCTGTACTGGTCTCGTTTGCTTACTTTTTTCAAGAAAAAAAGAGAAAGTTTTAAAATTCTAAAATATTCTGATTATTTGAGCTTTCTGATTAATTGAATGCCAGACCATCTTTACTGTAATATATATCTTAAGTTTTCTAAATTAATTGGTTTTATTATATTTTGCAGTATTTTTATTCGTATGCTATAAATGAGGTTGTTTTGGTGCAATTAATCTTATTTACACTAGCTGTTGATTTAAATTTGTATTTAATATTGAAAAACTATAATTTTGTGCAATATTTGCTGCAATTGAAATGTTTTATTTTAAAAAGCATTTAATTCTCTATCATAGCTGGGGATTGTTTTGAATTGGGACGTCAAGCATATAATAATCGGGATTATTATCATACATTACTTTGGATGCAAGAATCTCTAGATCGCCTTGAGAAAGAAGATGTTAAAACTTCTAGTAAATCAGATGTCTTAGAATATATGGCATATTCTTCGTATGTAGTAAGTTCTTTTGGTAATAAAATTTATCTATTAGACTACCTAATACTCTTTTATCAATTAGTCTTTTTTTTTTTTTTTTTAGACAAAAATTATAAAGATTTTTTATTTTTAAGCAAAGAAATATATATATTTTATATACTTTGCAGTATTTTCTCATTAAACATGAGAGTATATAATTAAAATTTTGATGATAAACTTTCTTAATTAAACTGATATTATAGTCATCTGTAGGGACTGTTGATGGCAATTGAAATGTTAAATTATCATTGCAATTTATATGCTTAAATAGTTTCATTAATAAAGTTTATGTGCCTAGATAGTTTCAGTAATAATTTTATTCAGTATATGCTTAAACAGTTTCAGTAATATATGCGTACATAGTTTCAGTAATGTTAAATAATTATAATTTCGTCTGCTAAAAATTTTTTTCTTGAAATTTTTTGTTTAAAATTTTATGTAATTTTAAATGGAAAATGAATGTTATTTATAATTTAAGTAAGCAAAAATCAATCTTTTCTGATAAAATTGTTTATGCTTTTTATACAATAATTTGAATGGTAATTTATCCCATTTTCCAAACAACTAATAATATTATTAAAGTTTTTAACTAATAATATTATTAAAGTACTGGCTTGCCGTATCTTCTTCTTGGTATAAAATTTGTTTGTTGTTTGTTTCATTACACAAGAACAACAATTTATTTAAATTAAAATTCAGTTTGTAGAACGGAATCAAATTTGAACATGAATTTGATTTAATATTTAAACTAGTTTATATATTAAATTAAATCTGTTTTGTTAATGCTCAAATTTGCTTTAGGTTTTTGTATGTTTAGAAACTTGAATATAATCTAGATAATTGTATATCATGTATCACTAACCTCCTGATGAAATAATGCATGATAAACAATTTCAAATTTATGCCTTTGATCACTTTTCCATTTGCTTGATCAGAATTGCCTATATGGCTGATTTCTTTTCTAGCAATACTAGATTCACATACTGCATTCATTAATTTTGTTTACTTATTTTGGATTATTATACACAAGTTTAATAGCTTAGTTATTTCAAGATTACATAATTTTGAACTTATAGTATTTCTTTTCAGATTTTATTGTATTAGTTTTATGCAGTGTAGTCATTGTAACCATATAAGAAGATTATAATTTTTTAACTAATAATAATATATTTTAATTTATTCCAGTTAGGAAACATTAGACATGCTTTGAAATTAACTCAGGATTTGATTGCAATAGGTAAGTTTCTATGGTATGTGAAGATAACTTTTTTTCCTTATTTTATTATCAGTTCAGCACATTTAATTGAAATAATAATTAAAATTTTTTTTCCATGACCGCCATATAGATCATTTTCAGTTTCCGAGAATTTGATTACAAGTAACGTGTGTATGCATATGGGCATATACAATGTATGCAAACACACACACATATATATATACAGGTACTGAAAAATTTGTTACGAATAACATTGTATATGATGTAGCTGTACATAAGTATGTGATTGCAGTACAGCTTATTGAAAATTTTTTTTATTTTTTGACAAAACATTTTTGAAACAGATGTGCACAGCTTATTGGGCACAGAAATTTGTGCTGTCTTTAGCAATTACCTTTGTACTTTTCACATTTTGATAATGTATTCGAAGTAAGAAAGAGAACTGCCATATCTAATGTTAATGATACAGAGGCAAGCAAGAGAAGTGTGCATAGAGTATGTGGAAGTTTGGTAAAGAATTGTGAAATTACAGTTCTGCTTTATTTCTGTTGGTTAATTAAGGTTTTCTTTACAAAAATTAATTTTGTTATTGGCTAAAAGACTTTATACATTATGTAGATACATGTGTCATGAGTATTATATAAGAATCATACAACAGGAGTTAATTTTGAAATGGTTCAGGAATTTATTATAAGCATGTTATTATTTTTGAGATAGAAAAATGAAATAACTAAATTAAAAAGGAAACTTAGGAGCTATTGCAAAATAAATTCGAAATGTATTATATATAACGGATGGCCATAGTTAAACTGACAGTGCTCACAGTGTTCTGTAGCATCATCCACCTCCATTCTGTCAAGAAAGGTGAGAGCAAAAGTCAATCGCTTATCATGGTCGGGGTACAGTAGCTCCTGTACGCAGCTTATCTTGTACGGATAGAAGTTGATAATCTTTCGTAACATTTTCCATATCGTACTGTAAGGCATATTCATATTCCATAAGGCATATCCATAATAAAAAGTAATTTTATTTCGTATTAATTTGCATTTATTAACACTCTATTTTCTATTACACAGCGCCAAATATTCCCCTAGCGGTGACTTTTGGAAACTAATTTTTTTTTCGCGGAATCCTTCGTCCCCCGTCTTGTTTAATCTTCCTACAAAATGTGGCATCATTCTTGCAAATAGATCGTGCTACAGAACACTGTGAGCACTGTCAGTTTAATTATGGCCACCTGGTATGTTTTAACTGGCAAATTAAAAATGCATTGTTGCTTTTGTATTTGCTCTGTGTTATCAGTAGAAGGCAAAGAATAACAAAGAATTTAGAATTTGTAAACTTACTATACTGTATGGGTGCTGATCTCAAATTTAATGGCATCATTATTATGCCCAATGTTTGACATATTGCCTGAAAGAATGTTTAAGAAAGAGGTAACATAACAGTTTATTTTTAAAACTAAAAGTCAAAATTGTATTATTTTAATTCAGTCTTGTTTTATGAAGTGTATAGTTCATTTAAAATCTTTGAAAAGTACATTTTTATGTTAAAGAATTTACTGAAATTTGTTAGCCATTTTTAGTTGAGCCATGTGGTCTGGTTATCGATGCTGGTAATGATGGTTATGACGGTCTGGTTATGATGGATCAAAAGTCCAATGCATAACTAAGAAAATATTAAAGTGTCTGTTTAAGCAATGCTTAGACAAAAAAGTTTTCTGCAGGTTTATTGCTGAGTTGCTTCTTAATGCCTGCCCTTCTGCCCATTTTATTGGTAGTGTCCCCTTACTCCAGATCCTGTCAGCAGTCACATTAGGAAACAGGTTTAGACCAGATTTTATTTCTTTGTGAAAATACCTGGATTGATTCGAAGTGTCTGAATATTGTTGCTTATTTTGAATTTGGATATTATTCAAAGGTCTTTTGAATAATGACTTGCTGCAGTTGCACTCATCATTGGTCATAGGTCGACTAGTTATTTCATGCCAAGAAAAAAAACAATTTCTTTTTTTAGTTACAGTGTAAATACTAAATTTTGCGGCTTAAAACCTAAAATTTTCAGACAAAAGAGCTTGTAAAAAAGAGGGGAATTTTTTATTATATATGGAAAGGTAATACCAATTATTAGTATTCAACCGAAAGTATTAGTATTCATTCAAAGTATTGTATGATATATTTAAAAGCTGAAATTTGCATTTATAAGCTAGTCTAATTCTGAAACATTTAAGTGAAAAACCTTGTGGGAATTCATTTAATTTATCTAACAGTTAATTTTATTTTAAAGTAACTTTCCTTTTGTTCTCATTTACAACTCATGCTTTCTTGCCAGAATATTAATGAGTTGTCGCATATATATTCAAATGAAGTCGAATGAAATATTATTTATGGGAAGGTTTTGGAAGGAGATTTTAGAGTGTATTATGTCTCCTTGATAGTCATGTTTTTATCTTTGATTTACTAGCAGCTAAATTTCTGTGGTGGTGAATGTTTCTTGTCATTAGGCTTGTTTATGTTGACTTTTATGATATTTTTGTAGATCCAGATCATCCTCGAGCTCAGGGAAATCTTGCATATTATCAACAAGCTATTTTAAAAGAAGATACCCATAAAAGAGGAGATGATGGTTTTGAAGTTCAAGATGATGAGGACAGTTCAGACTATGATCCTAGAGGTTTGGAGAGAGATACATATGAAATGTTATGCAGAGGAGAAAGTGTGAAAGTAAGAAAAGGAAAAGTTGCCTTTGAATTTAAGATACTGAATTTACCTGTAAGTTATAATTCCTATTTTTAAATTGTAAAGAATGATCTTTGGATGAACTGTTCATCCTTACACTGATAGATATGGATTGCAACAGAAATGTCAAGTAATAAATGGAAAAGCTATGGTTGAAATCAAAAGGCTGAAAAAGTTAAATTCAAACATCATATAAGTACAACAAAACCAATGTAAATGTCAGATAGGTTGAGAAACATGCTAATGTAAAACTTAAAATTAAGCAAAACAGCAATACCTTTAAATTTATTAATGACTTCAAAAAGAATTTATTTATAGTTCAAGTATTGCTAAAAAATAAAGGTGAAAATCTAGAAACTAAATATTTGGCTAAAGGTTAACTTTTTGTTCCTGAGTAAGGAACTATAGGGCGAAGAGAAATTCCAATTTTATGAACTTTGGAAACAGCATAAAACTTAACACAGTTAACAATATGTGGTATGAACAGTTTTTAAAACTGAGTTGGGAGTATGTGAAAAAAAGTAATAGCTGTTTTAACATTCACAAAGTTGGTGGATCTTCAGGGATCAAGCGGTGTAGGCCTTCATTTATCACCATCTTGATTTCAATAATATATGTATGTGGGTCCATTATGACAATCTGTTCACAATAGCTTTGGAAATGGTAATATTTGGTTTAGAATTTCTTACAGAATTTGAGGTTTAAAATGTCTCTCCTTATAACACTTTTCTTGTGGTTTTAATGAATGCATGTATTTTTTGATAGATAGAATTAATGGAAGAGGACCCCTCTCCTGAAGAAATTTATCAAGATCCAGTTAGTGCCTCCCACTCCTTTATTCCAATTCGTGGGCTAGCAGATCATTTCAAATTTTAAAAAGCTTTCTAAAGTGAAAGCTGAGCATTGTTTTAAGTAACTGAAGGAGCCAATCTCACTTTTAGAGAATTTTAGAAAAGACTACATTCACATTGTTGCCATGCCTCGAGATGATTGACAAGGCATGGGAGGAGACTTTCATTTCCGTATGGAAGAAGCTTTGGCCGAACAGCATTGTTGAGCGAGACTTCAAGGGGTTGGAAAAAGTGCCCATAGAGTCTATAATCAATGAGATTGTACCTCTGGGCCAAGATTGTGGGGCTATAATTAGATAGCAATACATCAATGAGAAAGTGGAAGAGCATAACCAGAGGCTGGCCATGGAAGAGCTTATACAGTGGCTACCAAAAGTTTTTGTACACTTATGATTTTCATAGAAATAGGGCTCTATCCATTCATTAAAAGTAAACTTTCTGAATGAGATTTTAATAACAAGATCTATAATCTATTCGTAACAAAATTACGTGAAATATTTTTAAAATATAGCAAAGTTTTATTTTTAAGAAATTACTAATAAAAAAATGACAAACATTTTATCTCACAAAAGTCTTCGTACACTGAAATATTTTTCGATAAAATCAAAATTAGAAGTATCATTTGCCGCTTTTTTTAATTTTTGCATTGTGGTGGCATTTAAAAAATCGTTTGCTTTAATTTTTTATTGCTTACTTCATAATCTGTTTATTATTGAAAAATAGTGGTCGCAGTCGTAAAGAAATTACAAACAGCATTTAAAAATTTATAATTTTTCACCACAGTAGTGGTAAATCAATTCGAAATATCGCTAAATTAATTAATTTATCTCATTCTACAGTGCAGTATGTGATAAAATGCTTTAAAGAAGAAAATCGGATTGAAAACAAGGTAAGAAAAGGTCGACCGAGAAAGTTAACTAAACGTGATCAGAGATTTATTATTAGAAAATTTGTGAAAAACCCATGTTTGAGTGCTGTAAAAGTTTCTTCAAAATTTAATTCAAAGTTTTCTACTTCAATTTCACCTGAAACTGTTTGACGAGTTCTCAGAGAAGCTGGATTACATGGGTGTTCTCCCCGAAAAAATTTTTTTGTTAGTGAGACAAACAGAAAGCTTAGGCTTTCATTCGCAAAATCAATGATAAATACACCCAAAACGTACTGGAATCATGTTCTATTTGCTGACGAAAGCAAATTTAACATTTTTGGTTCCGATGGTCGAATAACTGAGGAACTTTATTCTAAGAACTCAGTTGGAACAGTTAAGCATGGCGGTGTAGGTGTTCTTGTGGGGGGGGGCATGACAGCATCAGGACTAGGTAATTTGGTATTTATTGATGACATAATGAATCATTCTCTTTATTTAAATATTTTAAGAGACAATTTAAAATTATCAGCCCAAAATTTGGGTATTGGAAACAACTTTATGATAACGATCCTAAGCATACGACTCATCATACGTTCTTAAGTATAACCTCTCTCAACGTTCGCCTGTGGTGTCTCTGTAAATGTCCACAGATTTTAAAAATACATCTCAGTCGCCAGATGTAAACCCTATAGAACAAATTTGGAAAGAACTGGAGGTTAGAGTACGAAAACACATCAAAACGAAAGGCGAACTCAAAACAATTATGATGGAAGAATGGATGAACATTGATACAGAAATTACAAAACTACTAGTATAATCTATTCCCAGATGCTTAAAAGCTGTTGTGGATGCTAAAGGATGTCCTACTAAATATTAATTTAACGAAAAATGAAAATATTTACTAATATGTCAAGATTTTTTTGAAGTGTGCAAAGACTTTTGTGAGATAAAATGTTTGTCATTTTTTGATTATTAATTTCTTAAAAATAAAGTTTTGCTATATTTTATAAATATTTCATGTAATTTTGGTACGAATAGATTATAGATCTTAATCTTAAAATCTCATTTAGAAAGTTTAAATTAATGGATAAAGCCCTATTTCAATGAAAATCATAAGTGTATGAACACTTTTGGGAGCCACTGTAGAATTGCTTTCTGTGTCACAGCAAGAAGTTGTGAAGCAGATTTCATCGAGGGATAGGAGATAGCACCTTAAGAAAGCAACAATCTTCCAGTGAAATAAGGGAAATGCTGAAAACATGGGAAACTCTTGCTGCATCATACATTGAGAAGCATCACCCTAATAAGGGAATAGCTATGCAGACTACAAATTTGTGTAATGATAATGCCATGTCTCATATTCATCAAATTTTGAAACATGTGGGAAAGCATGTCTTTAGAGAACTTTCTAGCAAAAAAAAAAAAAAAAAAAAAAAAATGTATGATAAATAGTAAATTACATTATTATAAATTTGATTAGATTTTTTCCCACCCAAACTGAATGCATTATTCTATTTTACACTAATTTCTATGGAAACATTGTTTCACTTAATCAGTGTATTTCAGTAGTAGTAAGATTCGAGAACAAATTATTCCCGTTAAGCAAGGTCCCACTGTACATGTAGAGTGTTCTTCATAAATACCTATTACCTTAATTTTTCTATGTTATCTTGTAGTTATAATTACATAAATTAATTTATGTTTACCGTATTACTTTGAATTTAAGCAAGATTTTAAAATTTCAAAACCGGAAATATAAAAATAAAAATGATTTTTATAGATATTAAAAAAAGACATATTATAAAATCATTTTGATTTTTAAAACCTTAATTATTAAGGTCTGATCATTTGGGATTGGGAAATCAGCAGAAATAAGTTGTGAAAATATTTGCATTGAATTCAAGCTGTACGCTTATTTAATCTTAAAAATTTGAATAAAAAGTCTGGCTTAAATTTAGAGTATAGTTTTTTGCATAAAGGTATCTATATAAAGGAGTAATTATTTCATTTTTACTCATTTGATTTTCAGAGTGCTGAAGAAGAAAGCAAACTTCATTGTAGATATATCACAAATAATAGCGCTTACTTGTTATTGCAACCAGTGAAAGAAGAAGAATTGCATTTGAAACCACGTCTTATTGTATATCATGATATCTTATCTGATCATGAAATTGAAGTCATTAAATATTTAGCTCAGCCTAGGGTTAGTATTTCTGAAATGTTTGTACCTATTTTTTAATAATTTCTAGCATGTATATAAATTGATATCTAGAAGACTGCATATATAATCATGAAAACAAAAAACATTTTTAAATGTGTAAAGAATTTTACTTTACTTCTTAATTATGGCAAAATTTTATTTTTTTGATGAAAGAGCATTTTACATGCTCCATGTAGGATGTACAAGTTATATATTATTTGGGATAGTACATAATTTTTTTTCAGTGTACTTAATTATATTATATATAGAATAAATCATAAGTATTTGTTATAAAGTAGTAAAATAAGGGTAAGTTTAGGTTTTTAAAAGTCATTCTTAAACGGTGATATCGATTAAAATTTGTCAAAAGCCATGAATTGAAAATGTTACTATCAGAAGGTTAGACTTTTCACTGTCAAATTATTCACATAAAATCCATATCCAATCTTTTCACTGTAAAATTTTCACTGTCTTTTTAATTTAATTACAAAAATTTAGGTGTTATCAATTTATGAAATTATTCAGATGTCAATGTTAAGATATTGGATTGTCTAATTCTTATACCATTTAATCTGTTTCTAGATTTTGATATAATTATCTTCATTACAATAAAGATTCTTTCACAGCTTAAAGCTCTGCCAGACATGAAATCTTGTTTAGAAAACATTTTTTTCAAACGGGTTTATTATTGCTGTTAGAGTAATTTCTAAGAATTAGATGAATTTTTTGTAAAAACTGAGTAGTGTTCAATTGAAGTTTATATAATTTGTCCATTACTAAGGCAAGTGTGGCTGGCATTCTGCCAAAATACTTAAGAGTTTTTAGGAGAGGGGGGTTAATTATAGAACAGAGCAGATGAAAGGGCTTACAGCTGAAAACATTGTGAAGAAAACAATGCAAAAGAAAAACATTGGGAGAAAAGGAAACATGAAAAAAGTATAGCTGTTCTAAAACATCATGATATAAATAATCATCGGTGAAAATAAAACTGTCCATAAACTTCATAGTTTAAAAATATCATTTTGTATATCACAGTAAAAATAAAACATTTACAAATCATTCCATGAAGATAGCATAGCATACAGTTTGATAATTAATTAAACAACATTAATATAGTTAACCTTGTGCATTTACTTAAGTAATGTCTTTTAATAGTTAACTACATAAGTTTAAAATTATGTTAATTGCTATGTGTATAGGTTTAGTTTCTGCACATTTTCTTATTCTGAATGCTTAAAATTCTGTCTTTCTTTTCATTAAAAATTTATTAGTTTATTCAAAAATATGAAATGTAGAGGTAAAAGTACTCTTCATTCCTTCTCGTACTAAAAAATCATAATGTGAACATGCATTTAAAACTTTAGTCTAAAAAAACACGTATATGCAATGTGATGATTGGAGGGTTTTTTTTCCCCATAGCATTTTATACAATTATATTTTAAAACTCTAAAGTGTTTAACTGCTTCATTTTATGCCATGATGTTTTAAGAGCAGCAATGTTTTTCCCTTGGTTTCTTTTCCTCCATAATATTTTATGCAATGATGTTTTCCTCTTGCATTATTTTCTCCTTGATGTTTTTGGCAGACACTGATGAGAGATTAAATGAGAGTTTTCCATTTGCTGCAAAGAGGGAAATTACTGCCAGCGGATGATAAATCCCATTGGTCATTCTGCTGCCAGATGTCTTTTGTGCCTTTAAACACTTTTTGCTGAAATAAATGGGAAGATTCATATTCATTCACAAGTTTATATGGATTTTATCTGAATAATTTACATATTTCACGGCTTACTTTTAAATAAAGACCACTAAAAATCACAGAATTATAGTATTTGGCACAATTATTAATGCTAGTGGTGGCATTGCAGCAAGGAAAATGACACATACACAGCATGCGTGTTAATCCTTGGAATGCCAAGGGTTGCTCACTTATTTCTTTAAAAAGCAAATATCTGAAAATTCCATTTAAGATTCACAACAGTTTCTTCTATCCCAGTTTATTAACAAATGGAGAGGTTTCGTAAATAGGTAAATCTTTCTAGTTCCTAACAAACAAGCTTCCTTGCTAAGTCGTTAATCTAAAGATAAGTCTACAATAAAGATGAACTGAAGCAATGCATTTGGAGAAACTACACCTTAGGCTATGTACTTTAGGGGTACATAGATGAGATCTAGCTAATAAATGAGAGTTTTGACAGTGATATTGATTTCAGTAAACATAGATTTCAGTAATTTTTCATAATATTTTTTTGTATTAAATTGTAATCCATCCAGCCGGTTAATAAAAATCTGTTGGTCAACAAAATAATAGTTTATTTTCAATTTTTGAGTCCCAAAATCAGGCTGCATGTTATGCATTTAAATGTCTTATACAAAGGGAAATATGGCATTTACTATTATACTTTTGTAGTAATAATCCTATTATACTTAATTATTAGAATAAATATATTGTTATTATTATGAATTATAATAAGATTATACAATGATAATATTATTATAGAAAGTATACAATAATAATACAATGAAGTAATTATTTGTTACAGTATAATAGTTACTTATTACACTTTGCTGAAAAATTATTTATACCAAAATTAACATATGAGGACATTTGAATTTTAGCAATAAATAGATAAACATGAAATTATGTGAATATGATGAAATCAAATACTTAATTACAAATGATAACCCACACATTCAGCTTTGGTTACTAAAAAATAATTTTCTGCTTCCAACTGTTAGAATATTGTGCAAAATAAATGGGGGGGGGAACAAGAATGGAAAAAATAGCCTATTACATGATTCATATTGAATCTATCCTGTTTTGAAAATAAATGGGTCCAAATTGCACATTTATGTTTGTGTTCATGGTTGCATTTGTCATGTCCAAATTTGCAATTGTAACTGAAGTTCTGTATAATACTCTACATTGCATTTAAATAGAGTATTAAAAATCTCATTTAGGGATGAAATATTTCAAAATGAATGCCAGATTGTCAAATTAAATATTGGCTTAACTAGTTAAGATCTGAATACAAAGACATTTGAATATTTTTAAAAAATTTTCTCTTTCCGTCTAAGTGAAAATTATTAATATAACAATTTGAAGGATACTCCTAATCTTTATTATTTCTGCAGCATGTGTGTTGATATTTTGTTAAAGCATTGTGAACTGTAGATTGGTTATGCTGTGGTGGCATATTCACATGCAGTAGAATTCTTAGTACACACACACACACACATATGTTAAAGATCTGTGTAAACTGTGATATATAAAAGCATTGATAGGAAAAATGGGATTAAAAATTCATTATATATCTTATTAATTCTGCAAAATTTGATGTTGAGATACTTGTTGCGCTGACATTTTAAAAAAAGTTATATTTCTCATATTAGTATTGCATTTCTAATACATTATTTGGTATTTTATCTCACTAAGTTTAAGTTGTACAGTAAAGTACAGTTAATGTATTAATAATAAATCTAAATTAAAAAACTATTTGAGGGTAGTTAAGTTGAACTATTGTATTGCTCTGAAATGTGACAAATTGGACATATGTTTTCAAATATTTATTTGGATGATCACTGTAAAATGTGACAAATATATTCAGATTTTCAAACATCAGAGATTTAAAAAAAGAAATGGAAAGTTTGACTTATATCAATAGAATATAATTACATACTGCCTTATTTAAAGTTTTTAGTTTTTTGAATAATTGTAATTCTTTTTATCTTTTTAGAAATATGAGATAAAAGTATGACTAAAAACGAAAGCTGAAATAATATACTATGAGAAATTAGTTTTCTTTTATTTAATTGTTTTCACGTCATCTTTAACTTCATATACTTGTACTTCGTAGTCAAATTATGCAATTAATTTTGTTTTTGTTATTAGCTTGCTAGAGCTACTGTTCAGAATTCTAAATCAGGTGCTCTGGAAATTGCCAGTTACAGGATTAGTAAAAGGTTAGATTTTTTTTATTGTAATAAAAGAAATATATTTTTTATACATCCTTATTATGCATCATATTTGCCAGGATATGTATCTTGTATTCAAAAGGCAATTTTTAGAGGGGGATCAGTGTAATTGTAGCAATGAGTTTTCATTTGAGTTTCTCTTAACCCTTTGTGGACAAGAGAGGAGATCTACTATATGGACAGTCTGTGATGCATATAGTGTGGTCATCTACAATTGGTTAACAACATCAAAATCCCCCCTTTTTTTTCACCATTTCTTCATTAAATTTCAGGATACTACTCCAAAATTGTCTGTTTTTTATTTATTTAATTAATTACAGAATTTGAAGAAAAACTGAATTTTTAGATGAATTATGCATGAAAAATCATATGCCCAAAATAAAATTTATATATATGTATAGATAGAGAGAGAGGGGGGTTGAAATTACTACTGTAATGTTGGCTTTTTTCACACCCACGTGAATGAGTAATAGACTTATTTTACATACCCTTATGTATCACATTTATTACACATCTGAATTTTTTTTATAAGTTAATATTTCATTTCTGTGGTATGTTTAAAAACAAAGGCAGCACAAAGTCTCACAGTGCAGTATCTTGTTTCATATTTTTTGTGCATCTTTTTTCTTACGGTAGCATACTGCTTGCTGATGAGGCAATTTGTCTGACACAATAGGGTTTGGTTAATTTCCTGGATGATGCAAAATTATACGTTATGTAGGTTTAACTTTGCAGCCTAAATAAAGTCCCCCCCCAAAAAAACTTGAATTTTATGTGGTGTTGAGTGCTTTAAGTGCTTTCCATGTGAATGTGCACCTATGTTATTTCCTTGTTATTCACCATAGCAATCAATTAGTAACAATATTTTAAAAAATCACCATAAAAAAATTTTCTGGAAGACCTGTGTAATACCCGGCGGTTGGTGATTTGGGAGGGATTGAATTGGCTCTTCATCCGATTGGGATGTTTTAATGATTTAATCGACCTCCTGAATTTATAGATGGGATCTTTTGCTAATACTGTATATTTGGTGGCAGTTTGGGATCTTATCTACTTATTTACTATTTACCTTACACGAGAATAACCATTTAAAATCTTTGTTTTAAATTTTCAAATGGTAGAAGAGTAATGGGCAACATTGCCTAAACTCTTTTCTTTCTTTTTATAAGAAGAAAGCACCATCATTGTTAAGTTATGTGCAATACCCATATTTTCTTCAACATTAATGTGAATGATTATTAAGAGCCGAAATGTTACTGAGGCCAGCAGGAGAAGTTTTACATCAGTCTCACAAAATGTTGTAATTTCTTCCAAGCTATCATCCAAACTAATTTCTTTATCCCAAAATCTGTAAAAATGCAAGATGCTTTCAGATTCTTTCAATAAATTTGCATTGACATAATGCCTGAGCAATCACAGTTACTGCTTTTGATTTCTGAATTATTATCCAATTTTCTGTTTTTGATTTTCATTAACATACAAATTTAAAATATGAAAATTATGGTAATGTAATGAAATAGCTATGTTATATGCTTTTAATAATAGAATTATAAAAGTTTAATAGTTTTTAATAAAATTTTGCTAAATAAATACAAACAATGTATCAAAAGAAAATGGATGCTTCTCTATGAATTCAGCTGTAAAAAGGGGGGGGATCCTTCGAACTTGTTCTTATAGTCAGATAATATCTTCCATAAACAGAAAAACAAACTATAATAAATAATGAGAGGGGTCATAAACTATAACTTTGGAAAATAAGATGCCCCTATCATATATAGGCAAACTGTGCAAAAATGCATTGCCCACACAACATATGGAGAAAACTAGAAAAGGAGTAAAAATACTTTCCATTGCAAAATCCATACTTCACAAAATACTATGTTTGAAATTTGAAATTTTTTTGGAGAGACAGAAAGCATTTGCCTCTGACTAAAATAAACTAATTATAGTGACTAGATAAAATTTCTGTATAAAGCTATTATCTTTTCTGTTAAAAAACTGATCATTCTAATAATTATTAGAACACTAGGTTTTTTCCTATATTATAGAGATGTATAGAAAGTAACCAAAGTAACCTATTGTTGTAATAAGAAAAAAAGTTTGGGAGGGCAGGGAGAATTATTTGCTGTGTGTAATTCTCTTGACAATATTTTTTGCACTTAATCACAATGAATGAAAGTTTTGAATTCTTGAATTGTATATTCTTAATAATACATTAAAATTATTTTTCATTTTCACGTTATTTTAATCATATTATGCATTACTATTCGATTTTTAAAATAATGCATAAACTCTCAACTTACATAATATTAGAGAAAATATTTTACACAATAGTTATTTTTTTAAAATACTTATAGTAAGATTATGATTTGATTTTGAAAAATATTTTAGTGCATGGTTAAAAGATGGAGATCATGAAGTTATAGCTCGTTTGAGTCGAAGAATAAGGGATATTACAGGTTTAGAAACCGACACAGCTGAGGAACTGCAGGTTGTAAATTATGGGATTGGTGGTCATTATGAACCTCATTATGATTTTGCAAGAGTAAGTTGAAATTGGTAATTTTTCAAACTGAATTGTAATTTTTATAGGGCAGTTATTATTAGATAATCTAAAATAGCAGGCTGTGTGATATTTAATTATTTTTTATAATATTGTTTATTTTATTTATTATACATTAATATAAAATTTAGATAAGTAAAATTTTAGATATTACATAATGCACTGTAGTCAAAACTTTTTTACCCTTTACTCGATGAAGAGTTGTCGAGTAAAGGGTACATAATATTAGAGAAATTATGTACCCTTTACTCGACGACTCTTCATTGAGTAAAGGGTATCAAGTGACTGTATTCAGTCAGTTTAATTATTGACAAAACAGCATTGTTGCAAAGTAGCAAACTCTGTGAGGCAAGTCATAAATCATAAATTTGAAGCAAGCTCAGCACTGAATATTGCAGTGTGAAATTGAAATGAAAATATGTGTACAAGTAACTTTGATTCATTTATTTATCGCTATCTGTATATCATTGTAATTTATTAAACAAATCAGTTAATCAAAGATATTGCATTTACAAGTAGCATATTTAAGCTTCATTTGTCACACATGTAAAACATATGAAAATTGTACCTATCAAATTTATTGTCTTTATAGAATAAAATTTTGATAAAAATTATCTAGTGCTGTCTAACAATGAAGTAATGTATATAGAGTAATAAATTAAATAATATCAATGATTTTTTTTTACACGCACATATAGGTATTAGATATTTCTAATGTTTTCTATTATGAGCATTTAATATGGGGATTGACTTTTAAGGTTATACAGTTTTTTTTTGGGGGGGGCAGTAATATTTTTCATCATTCTTCCCATTCTGTGACTTTTAAGGGTGATATACTCTCAGATAAAAATATGAATTATACTAATATAAAAGTAGCAGTGGGTACAGTAAAATTACAAGAAATAGAGCAATGACATTTTGTAAATCTATTGGTTTCAAATGCAGTCTACCAAAGATAATGAAATACCTTGGAAGTGAGGTTAATCAGGAAACAGTAGTCCCACATGATTTTCCGAATTGATGCTGATAAGTTATGTCTGGGAACTAAAATTGTTAGAAATCACCTGTCCCATCTAAAACTTTGCAAGGAATTATAACTTCCTTGGTGGAAGAATTCAGCTATCTTCCTAGAATATTGAATATTCTTATAATGTGTGTGAGAGATTAATAAATAATATGCAAAGCAGTTAGTAGTATCATATTCCTTGTTAGCTGTTCTAACTAGTCAAGCTAGTTCTAACTATTTTAGGCTCATTTTGAACTTCTTGTTCTCACGAGCATGACATATGGTCATCAATAAAAAAAGTCTTTTTATCTTATTATTCAGTTATAAAATATGTGTGCTTCTGCAATTTTTAAAAATATTTTTTGTTTTTTTGTATTGTGGGATTTTCTTTTAAACATCAACATAGGGAAGGTTATCTTCACCGTGTCACGTCTATTGACATTTTTAATAGCTGATACATTTGTTTATAATGTAGGCACAGATATTTGTCAGAGAAGGGATTAATACGTGATTAAATATGCATGGTAAGAAAACTTAAATGCATTTGAAATTATTAACACATCAAAGAGGTATTGTATCCTGACAAAATATCATACTGCCGGTTGAGGGGAAATACTTGTTACAAACCTCATGTGTAAGCAGTCTAGTCAAATAAATACAAAGTTTGATCTTGAATAATAAAGTCTTCTTTATTAAGTAAATACACATATCTCTGTGTGGCATTAATTTACCATAACATAGTTTCATAGAAAATATTTTTCTGCCATTTGGCTTTGGAATGTTCTGTATTTTGAATTTATGGGGCTTAATAGTCTTATTATAATTGCTTAGCTTTGAATTATTTCAGGTTTTAAACCAAAATTTACATATCTGGAAATAGATTGCAATTTTTTGTATTATGATTTTTATAATTTTTTAATTATTTGAATATATATTTTTTAACATTTTGAAAGTTGGTAACTGAATCAATTGGATCAAAAATGAAATTTTCAGATTGTAATTTTGTTTTGGTAGTTAATTTTTATTAAAGTGATAATAATGTAAATGTTTCAGAGCTTCAGTTTTGTTAGTATACTCTTCTAAATGCATTATCATCTAATATCAAAATTAGTAATAATAGCAGACAATGTATACAGAGGGCTGCTGAGTTTAAATATATTATTTATTTCACTTTAGATAAATTGTAATAATGTGTAGTACATTAAAAATAAATGTATGCTTAAATTTTTAAGGATGCACGTAAAACTGAAAATTTAGCATATTAATTTTTTAGGAAATTTTGCATTTTGATTAAATTAAGAACATGGATAGCATCAGCATATAGCATAATTGCTGGACTTGTCCTTTTTATATAACTGTTTGCAATATTTATAATATTTGATAAGTATTAAAAATGAAAGTATTCAAATCAAATTAATACATTTGTTGTATAATTTAATAACCTTTTTTTGTTGTCTTTTCAGAAGGAAGAAAAGAACGCATTTAAAAGTTTAGGCACTGGAAACAGAATTGCTACATGGATAAATTATGTAAGACATTGTTTTTAATACTTGAGATTTTCAGAATCATTTTTATTACATAAAATTAAAAATGGAAATTATTGGCACACATGACTTGGGCCATTTTGGAATGTAAAGGAAATGTTTCTTTCTTGTAATATTTCTACTGCGTATTTGTTGATTACAGATAATATAAAGGCTTCCTTGTAAAATTGTGATTGAAAAGGAATTTATTTGGCTGTTCAAAGCATGCCATTGGTAAACTACAAGAAATAACATATTTTATCAGTTTTAGTTTTTACTAAGGAAATCCCACAACTTTTTAACACTACCCAGCATTGAGGGGGGGGAAATCAACCAAATAATATAATAATAAATAAATAGAATGAATTCAAAATAGTGATTTTATTTATTTATTTTGTAGTTTAATATTAGTATAAAAGAAGGTATTGTATGATAAATTAAATAATCAAATTATTATTTACTTAGATGAGTGATGTAGATGCTGGTGGTGCTACTGTATTTCCTGGTATTGGTGTACAGGTGAAACCCAAAAAGGTAGCCTATTTAAATTATTTTCTAATGATAATATTTTGCTATGCTAGTGGTTTCATTTCAAATATTGTTTTAAGTGTGAAGTAAATAACAATTATTTAAAATAATGCATTCAAGAAGTTTACAGATATGCATTCTGAATCAGTACAAAGTCTTTAATCCAGACTCATAGGGACTTCGGCAATTCCGGATTAGGGGTTTTTAGGGATTATAGATCATAAATTTAAATCTGGTAAGATGGCATGCAGAAATTATAAAATAAAAAATATGAAACCGTAATTTATGAAATAAACCCATTCAAAGCAGTCTGAATGATCTTTACGTTCGACCACACACATTTCCTTCGTACAAACAGGACACTTATAATTCTGTTGAATTATATCCAATAAGTTTCTTTTTTTCTGTCCATAGCCATTTAAAAAAAAAAAAAAAAAAAAAAAAAACTTCCACTCTTTTGTTCTATACCATCAAACACCCACTTTACCACTGGCAGCCATTTTACGATGCAAAGCACACAATATGTACTTCTTAACTGACATCTAACAAATATTTTCCCATCAGTCAAATTCACCACAATAACACAACCAATCATGTCATAAAAGAGTTTCCATAACATTCAACTACTCAGTGTACCATTAATGAAACAACAGCTTTGTGATAATCCAAGGGGCACCCTTAAATATAGGCTAAGATCATGATTCTTATGTCAAGTAGTGGCATTACTGAATAAGTTATTGCTTCTCCAATATCAGAGCATGTTAGAGCAAAATGGCTAACCTCATAGGAAGCATGTATGCAATATGAGAGCATGTCACTTCATAACAGGTTGGAGAATGAGGTTTGTGGGGAACGGCAATGAATTTCTTATCTTTGTGACTTCTGTGTCACTTTCTTCGCTATCGGAAACGAATTATAATGATGAGGAATTTGATTTAGATCACATCAAAGACGGAGTACATCGAGATGAAATACTGCATTTAGTAAGGAATTATAAGCTAAATAAAATAAAAACATCTGCCCTGAAGATAAGGATAGTGCTGACAGATCAACTTCCAGTTCATTACGCGCCGTGACATCCCCCCCACACACACAGAGCAGCGTGAAATTGATAAACAGATTTCGGAATGGTTAGATAAACAAATCCATTATCCATTATCCTTTATCCATATTTTGCAGCAATTCTACTTTTTGTTTAATGGACTTGAAAACATACTTTCGCTTTGTAGATCCTTTACATATTAGTAAATATATATCAGAAATTCTATTTGACATAATCGAAAGTTCAAGCTTACTTTTATAAAATTGATCTAACAGTCTGCAAAAAATAATAAAGCCGGATCCAGTTCAGAAGATTATAGAACAACGCAATCTGCAACACTAACTGAATTAGGTAATTTTAGCTTAGCTTATACCGTCTGTTATACATTAAACGCACATTCGTAAACATATTTTGCGCATGTGCACATGCATATTCGCAGCCGTGACGCATGTGCAGAAAGTTTGTAGCTTTGAGGTCCGGATTATAGATCATTCCGGATTATGGGTGTATGAATTAACGACTTTTGACTGTATTTGGTTTGGTGTGATTTGCAGATCTAAGTTGTAAAGTATCAGGAGAACAAATATCCATGTCCATATTAGACATAAATGCTGGTTTCCCATGATCATTTAAGACAAACTATTTTTCTGTGAATGGATAATTTAAAAAGATTTGAATCATGTTTGAGCACTTTTAAAGGGACCATTTAAGGTGGTTGTAGTGACCATTATGTCACACAAACACAAGTGAGCACGTTTTTAAATCTTTGTGAATAAACACTGCTTTTGTTGCAAGTGATCCAGTTGGTTTTAATTTAAGATGATGCATGTATCAGCTTAAATTAAAACCAACATAGAAGTTTCACTAAATGATTATGAAATTGCATGCATCAGCTTAAATTAAAACCAACATAAAAGTTTCACTAAATGATTATGAAATTGCATGCATCAGCTTAAATTAAAACCAACATAGAAGTTTCACTAAATGATTATGAAATAGCTGAAGTGTGTCTGCATATTTTAGCTTTTTGACACAGAATAATACATTGCCTAGCCTGGTTTGTGACATTTCACAATATTTGCCTACACCTGTCATCATTCAAATGGCTGGATGAGCTAAATTATGTACACAATTAAAATGCAATTTTTGGAATGCTTTGGGAGTATAAAGTCATATGTTTTTCCAATAGATATATCTCAACATTATTCTGTTTTTTTTTTTTTTTTGAATTTGTACACTTTTTGTATTTGTAAAGAATTGTTAGTATTTAATATTTTTCTTAACCCCTTAACTGCCATGGAAAACGTACAAGATTCATTTCCCAGTACCATGATTTTTCTACACAGGCGTGCGTAGTTATGCGATGTATTAGGGGCAAAATAAGTGTAAATTTTACTTTCTAAAAACTGTTTACTTTCACAAAATAAAGAATAAAAGAAAAAAATGAATGCACAAAATTTAATGTTTTGAATAAAAGTATAATAAAAAGATGTAAGTATAATAAAAATGATTTTTTTATAATAAAAAAGATCCCTAAAATGGAGTTTCGATCAATTCATTTTTAGACCAGTAAAGTGTAATATCAGGTTTCAGTGTTATGCCTTGTGAAATCAATATGCCTAAAAAAACATATATTTCTTCTGAACTGGTTGAATTCCATGATTTTGTTCTTGATTTTTTGTTTGCAAGGTGTTGGTTCATATACTCGTCTACAAAACAGTTAGTTTCAGTTACAATATGAAGCACGAGCAAAATAAATTCAAAATAGATAAATAGGTTTGAAACATCCGTTATATCTATCTTTATTCCTTTAACCTACTACAAAAAGTAAACGAAAACGGAGGACTCACAATTTAAAAAAAATATGTTTTACTCAAACAACAAGCTAATACTGTACAGTCATTACTTTCACTGCTTTAGACACCCCCCCTCTCCAATTTCTTCCCACACTTCTCTGAAATAGTATTTTCCTTCGCATACTTTGTCAAGGTCATTGTGGTGTTGCATTCCAAAGCTTTGCAAATAATTTTACGGGTTGCAGCGCAAAGCAAATGATAGTATTTTGGAAGGGCGTATAACGCATTGGCTGAGCAACGTATATATATATATATATATACGCCCGCGGCAATTAAGGGGTTAACTCATCATTCTTCATAATCAGTAGGACCAACTTTAATTTTGTGATTGTGAGATAATGTGATGAAAAAAACGTAATCAGTTCCTTTTTATGTATTGGATATCAATTATGAACTGCAAAATAAAGTCTATTTGATGATTTTGATGTGGAGAACATTTTTCTATTAGTGATTAACCAAGTCTTTTAGTGATTTGTGATTGGTAAACACTAAAATTATGACCTTCTAGCATGTACCTAAATTTCCAAATGGACGCATAGAATTGCTAATAATTCCTTATCATAAGCACTGTATTTTACCTCTGAGATTCTCAGTTTTCTAGGAAAAAATGCTAGAGGTTCGAGTCCATAGTCAGAAGCTTGATTTAGAGATCTGCCAATAGTATAGTCAGATGCATTGACTTGAAGAATAACAGATGTGTTTGGTGAAGGTTTTGCTAATGATAGAGCATTTGCTGTTGAAAATAAAATGATCGTATGACCAGACGACCGTGCATTTGCTTGATATCTTTTTCTCAGCAGGCCTTGCGAGAAAAGTTTATGTAAACAAATCTTTAGAATTCTGTATTTAAGGGATATTTTGTTGCTTACTTAGTTTATTCTTTTTCTCAGATTACCTGATTAATTATACTTGGATTCAGCTTAATATGTTTATGTATGAGATGCATTATGAATAAAAATAAGAAAAACTTGGACAATATGGTTTTCGTGCGAGAATACCATTATTCTTTAGTGTGATGTAATATTTTTTTCATTTGTTAATGATTGTTTATCATTTTCAAATGCTTCACTTGTTTGAACAGATCAAGAAATTTTGCATTTGCGATTCTTTTTAAAATTTTTAAATATTTGTTGATTAGTGCTTGGTTATGAGCTGCACGCAGTTATCTGTAGTAAAAATTTACAAAACCTAAAAACTTTTTAAAATCTTTAACAGTGTCTAGTTTTTTGAAGTTCAAAATTGCATCTGCTTTTTTAGGTATAGCTCCCATTCTTGGTTATTAAACAGCCTAAGAATTCTATTTCAGGAACACTGAAAACACATTTTGAAGTATTTAATTTTAAGTCCATATTCATTTCGTTTGTGTAAAACTTTGCAAATATTGCTTATGGAATGCTTCTCTTTCTTTCTTTCTTTCTTTCTTTTTAGAATACTAGAATGTTATTCAAGTATGTGTATCAAAAATCTGCTTCTCGTATTCCTTTGCGCATGAAACGCAGGAACATCTGAGCAGCATTTTTGAGTCCAAAGTTTAAATAAGGAAACTCAAAGACAAAAAGGAGTAACTACTGCTGTTTTATGTACATGCTTTTCGTAGATGGGAGTATGGTAATGATCTCATGCAATATCTAATTTGGAAAATGTTGTTTTGCCATGAAGGGATTCGGCAAAATCTTGTGTAACTGGAATACGATGTATGAATCAAAAACTGTAACTGAATTAAGTGCTGTGTAATCTCCAACTGGGCTAATGCTGGTAGGCTTCTCTAACTGCGCTAATGATGGTAAACTCTGTAATCCCCATCTGAACTTATAATGCTGGTAGTCACTTTTAGATGGTCTTCAAATTTCCTCTTCAGACATAAACTGGAACTTCTTTTTTTCTTCATCATAAATTTCAGGTCAAAGGAGTAGACTGATTGTCCTTTCATTTTGATATATTGAACTGTGTCATTTTTGATTGTTTTGCTATGTATAGCAGGATTAGTTAGTTCAGGAAATTGTGAAGAATTTTGTGATATTGAGAACATTCTGAAACAGTCTTAATATTCAATTGAGTGTTCTGCTCTAATTTGCCAGTACTAGCAAAAGTTGTCAAAATGTCAATGA